GTGAGGTAGGTGTATTGCTAAAGCAAAATAGATTGTGTGTTTAATACAACGTCGCCTGAAATTAATGTGAAAAACAATGCAAAAAGGAGTCAGAGCAATGAAGAGAGTGTAGGTGTAATAGCTTTGAGAATTATAAGGGTAATGAGAACTTTTCACCTGTCTATTGCCAACTCAAGTCTAGCACAGATTGATATTTTGAGCTATCTGGCATTTCTTTGCCAGTGTGGAATGAGTAGGTGAGGCAGAAAGAGACCCTGAGAGAGGCAAGGGGGAAAAAAAATCACATGATATGCTAAGTTGTCTCTTTTTTTCTGTTTCACTAGTATGGAGAGCAGTACAATCATTCTGTTTCACAGACCTCTGCAGGTAGCAAATGAGAGGGGAATGAAAAACCGACAGACGTGGCTTGATATATGAATCTAATAGGGAGCCCATGACTTGAACAAATGAATGTGCTCTCAACAACCTGCATCCAGATCCCTTATCTAAGATCTTTATAGACACAATTATGCCAGATAATATGTATGTTAGAGAGCATGTTTTATCAGAGGTTAAATCTTAAAGTTAATCTCCTTTATGCTTGGTCTTACAGTGCTGTTCATATATGTTATCTACTGTATGCCTTATTTTTATATACTTAAGTCCAACAATTATTTAGAGACTTAGTTCTCTGACCCACATGCCACATTCTGGAATAAATGTCTTCCCCATAACATAAAGCTATAAAAACTTAAGGTAGTTCTTCACTGGGGAAGCCTGCCAATGACAAAACCCAACCAAAGTTTTATGTGTGGGCTGCTGACAGGGGTCCTTCTGGGATGCAGAATTTGTCCTCTTTTTTTTTTTCCAACACGACTTCTTGAGGAAATCAGTCATCACAGGTCCAGGTTACAGGGCTTTAATGGGAAATGCTGTGCAACAGGGACCCATTCTGCTTTTTGCAAATATAGCATGGAATGTATGTAGACAGGAGGGCTACATGAGTATTTTCCTATGTTGTCAGTTGCTCAAAAGCTTTTGAAAATTGGTTCTCAGTTAGTGGGACCTATGCAGTGGGATTCAAAGAGTTATTTTTCTTTGGCTTGTTTTACAGAAAATAAATCTGGGAAGCAAGTAATATTGACAATAACTCTTTAAGAAAATGTTTGTTGTCATCCAAGATCTACTTGTGGGTCCTTGTGGTTTTATTAAACTTCACTTTGAGATTGACAACATCCATGATAAATATATTAAACCAAACCTGGACCTTTGGACAAGTTTCTGTATATCGCCTAGGTGGGGTAAAAACCTGTTTTTGTAAGAAAGAAAAAAGGGAACTTTTTATTAACAACATAATTTATAATGCTCTAGGTTTGGCATTGTGCAAGCTATGAGGGACATCAGTGAAGGACTTTTTTCTTTGTTTTTACTTCTTCATAATTGACGTACCAAGAAGCTGCCCTTGGCATAGCTTGTTTTGAAGAGAAATCAGTCTTGGACATAGATTCTTTAAGCATAGAAATGGCTCACTTGGGGTAAAAAGATCATTCTTGATGTGGAACTCTGGTGACTAAAGATGGTATATAATGCTTTGGCTTCCAAAAACAAATCAAGGTCAAAGGGACTGCTTTGTCGCTTGATATGTAAGCATTTCCTTTTTCTATATTAGAGATGTGAGTGCAGGAATTTCCTGGAGCAGTTGTTTGGCTACCAGAGAGGGATCTGAGCCAAAACAGAATCAAATTTAGACATGGATGTGAAATAGTACTTCAAAAAAAGACCCATTTTTAGTAGCATAAGCACTGAGACGCCTATTGACTTTCACTGAAACTTAGCCTCCTTGCCTTAATTAAGGTAGCTCATAATTAGTTCTTAAAGGGAGTAGTTTTCACTTCAGATTTGTATTACCAAAAGACTGTGGTGCTTTTTCATAACATCATAACGTCAAATTTCTTGCCTCTTGCCTGTTGCAAATTTCTTGCCTGTTGCCATGATTGCCATGATTGCCAGGTTACAAGGTATCCTGTTGCTCTGAGAATTTCATATTCCAAGCCACATGTAATATAATATAATTAAGAACATCCATAGAAAGTCTGCTGATGTATGCATGTCAAGGTACCACAGCACTATGCAGATTAAATGCTGAGGCTCATATACAGTATTTGGTATATTTTTTATGTTGGATTCAGTATAAATACCTTCATAGAAAGATCATGTTATTGGAAAATAAATGATTAAAAAGCTCTCTGTTTACTGAATATTTTCTAAATGTTTTGTGGAGAAATTTAAAAACCAAGGGTGAAATACTAGCCACATTGTATTCAGTGGCAAAATTCACTTCAGTGGAGCCAGATTTTTTCATCTTTGTTTGCCAAGATAATCCTTTAGAAATGTCTGAAGTTTCTGTTTCTAGGGAATTAATTCTGTTTTGTTCTGTTTGCAGGCATGCTCAGTAAACATTATACCTGCCCAAATAACTATTTAGCAAAGTGAGAAAAAAGAAACAAAAATGTGCTGTGACTTTATTCAATTTTATGTCTGTGTGAAGACCTGGAAAACACTTGGGAGAACCAGTTCTTCAAGTTCTTTCCTGAAGGCCCTTTTGAAATGCTTAAGTAAAATTGCTTTAGAGTCTAGACCACAGATCATTAGGGCAAAAGGCCTCAACCCCACTATAATACCCCACAAAAAAACTCTAGGCACAAGCAAAACCCCATTGATTTAAGTGGAACTTAGGGGTAAGAGTTTAGGTATGTGTATCTGACTGCCAAGTTTGGACTTAAATATGTAAATTTATCTCTCAACCCTGTCGACCACAATCCTGCAAAACTTTCATGGAAGTGGATGAAAATGCTGCTGCCATAAGGTCTGCAGAAGCAGACTGTTAAGATCTTAAAATAAATGTTTCTGGAAGACTGGATTTTTTCTTGAAATGTATGCTATACCTTGAACCAGAGTTACAGACTTGATATGGAAATTGCTGTGTGAGATTCTAGTGAGGTCTGCTTTATACAAGGATGACATACATGATAATCCTAATGGTCCTTCTGTCCTTAAAAGCCATTAAACTGCCTAACCAAAAAAACAGTTCCTGCAGTAACTCTCTCACCAAATCCCACAGTTCCAAGCATTCACTTTTGCTGTAATGGTTTGTGAAGAACTAAACAAGGTGGTGCTAATTAGGACCGATCAAATATTTTTCATCAAAACTGGTTTTGCTGGAAAAGTATATGGTTGACCAAATGAAACTTTTGCCAAGAAAGTATGTGCTTTCTATGGAAACTGGGACTTTTCCCTGAAGGAAACAAGGATACAAAAATGTTTGGATTTGAGGTTTAAAGTCTACATTTTCCATGGAAATTTAAAACAAAAGTTTGCTTTTGTTTACATTTTCCACAAGAAAAATCCAACTAGCTCTTGTACAAATGCTTCAAGAAACCTAAATAGCAAGATGAGATCCACATTGCTTTTAAGCAAGAGGGGCCAAATCCTGGAGAGTAGAGGTGGGAGCACTACCAAGTGCCAAAGAGTTTTACTTCCTCGCACACGGACTGCTTCTGCAGCACTGGCTTCTCAGACACAGGCTGCAGGCTCCCCAGGGGCCTCCACTTTGGTGCCTCCTCTCAAGTGGTGCCTGGGGCTGATGTCCCACTCGCCTATGCTTAGTTACACTACTGCATTGAAGAATGAGAACTATGCCATTGAAGACCATTCATATGTAAGTCAGGGCAGAACTCAGCACCACTGAGTTTTGATGGCTGGATACAACCAATCTAACACATTTTCTAAACCTAAGTGTAAAACTTTGGGCAGTTGCAAACAAACTTAAGATAAATATGAAATATGCAAGATTATTTACTGCTGTCTTCTATTTTCTCCTTAACCACCAGGGATCCTGACTTTCCCTGATAAAAAACACAAATTCTCTGATAAAAAAATCACAAATCCATGATTAAAATAAAAGGCCCCTCACTCACCCCCTGGCTCTGCTGGTGCCCCTCATCCCCTTCCCCCACACCTCCCTGGCCCTGCTCGTGCCCCTTTCTCCCTCTCACATCCTCCCCAGCCGTGATGGTGCCCCTCTGCCCCCATTCACAACCCCTTGCCACCCCCAGCCCTGCCAGAGGGGGCCCCCAGCTGCCAGGGCAATAGGGCCAGGGACCCAGGTCCTCAGCCCTCTGCTCCCTACCACTGCTCACACTCCCCAGGGACGGGGGGACCCATGCCCCCCAGATCTGTGCGTGGGGTGGGGATGAGCTGAGGCTGCCACCCTGCTTCCCTCCCCCAGGGCCTCCACAGCACAGTAGGTGCAACCCAGCACTGCAGGGAACAGTGAGGCCACACAGAGAAGCTCATTGCTTCTGTGAGCTCTGCACTGCCCTGGCAATGTGTTCCTTGCATGTCCGGCAGCAGCGAGGTGCACAACCCCATGCTGCTGCCCCCACTGCTGCCACATGTACACAGGATGCATTGCCAGGGCAGCGCGGGGCTTGTAGCAGCAAGGAGATCCCTACATGGCCGCACTGTTCCCTGCACCACTGGGTCTCACCCACCAGGCTGCACGGACCCCCAGGGGAGGACAGCAGGGTGGGAACCTGAGCCCACAGTGGGCAGCCCATGCCTGCCCACACAGAGATCTGAGGGGCACAGGTCCCCCTGCTGCCCCCCAGGAGCATGCACAGCAGCCAGGAGCCATTCCTCCCCCCAGCTGAGCCACCCGCAGCCCTGTCCTACTCCCCACCAGGCCCTGAAGCTGCACATTGTGACCACAGGCCCCAAGCCTCACACACCACCCAGCTGGGCAGCAGCCCCAGCCCCGCTCCCACTTACTTGTGGGACCTGCTCTCCACCAGCCTGCAGAGAGGTCTTTGCAACACTGCAAAATCCATGTGTTTCTCCAGTAAAATGAGAAATTTGCATTCTCCTCTGCTAAAGGGTAAAATCTGCAGTTTTCTCCCTTTTTCTGTGGGAAATGGAAGACCCAGATCCCTGTTAATCACTGTCTTTCAATTTCTTGACAGATGATGAAAATGAAGAGGAGGCAGAGATGAGTGAAGATACAGGTGTGTATGTACTGCAAATCATAAAACAGGCTGAGAAATATCTTACAGTTGATCTCATGGCTATGATGAACATTGCGAGGTAGTTAGCTATGTTAGTCAGAAGTCAATCAGAAGGCAGGGTAGATTTGCAGTAGGCCCGCTGCTTACAAAAGCTTATGCTATGCATCTGATTTACTGTATAAGGTGCAAATTGACCCTGCTTTCTATAATGAACATAGTCCCTAGAGCATATTATAGCCTAATTGAGAAATAAATGGCATTAAACTAAAATTGTTAAATTATGGTAAAAATATACTTTTTAAAACATTTGTACTTCTGTATTGCCCTCTTTTGGGCCTCCAGTGATCCTTTCCTACTCCATCAGCATCCATCTGGATCCGCTTGAATTCTGCCCTTACTAGTTTTTATGTGTATGTGTACTCATTTGCTGCAGCCAGTCTACATACATGTGGCTTACTTTAAGCCAGCAGTTCCCAAACTGTGGGTCACAATGCCAAATGGGGTTCCAACTTCAGTGAACAGGGTCATAGCGCAGTGCACTCTCCCATGCCAGGTCTGGCCTGCTGGGCTGCAGAGGCCTGGGGAAGGGCAGCAGGGTGAGAAGCCCCTAGCCCACAGCAGGCAACCTGCAGGTGCTGCTTCCTGCATGCGGCAGCTGGGGCTCAGGTGCCACTGGGGTGGGGAGCATGGGGCTGCGGGCCCTGGATCACCTAGGGAGAGTGGGGGGGCTGCAGATTGGGAGTGAGGGGCACTGGCAGGGCCAGGGGGCTATGGATCAGGAGTGAGGGGCACCTGGGGGGTGGAGGCCTGCGAGTTGAGAGTGAGGGGCCATGCTGACGAAATGGGATCATAAATGGGGTTCTGCTGAGGAAAAGTTTGGGAAGCACTGCTTTAAGCTATGTAAATATAGACTGGGAGCAGCACGTACAGCCATTCACCACTTCAAGGAGCTGCACAGGGAATCCAATGTATGTAACTTGGATGGGTGGCATCGGGGTGGGGGATTGGCAGGTCCAGGGGGGGTTGCTGGGTCTGCAGAGGGGGCAGTGTTACCCAGGGGGTTGTCTGTGGTGGTGGGGGTGTGTGTGGAAAGGTTGGGGGGCTAAAAATAGCACAGTTGTGTGATGGGTATAATGCAGCCCTAGAGCTGGAGCAAGCAGCTGGGTCTTTCCAGCCCTGGAGCTGCACCAAGAATGGATACAATTGGGTTAAACCTTTTCTGTATTGGTTTACCTCGATTTCGATCTATGTTAAGTTCACCTGAGGAGGCGCATATCTTAGATTTGGCACGCCATTTTGTGGTGATTTAATCCCTCTAGAGGCCTGCATGATTTGGCATTTATATTTCCCTAACCTTATGATACCCCAAACTGAGTTTAGAAGTTATTTCAAATTTAATTTTTCACATGTAATTGTTACATGGGTTTTTTTGTGTCTCTACATGTGATTCACATTGACTTTTTAAAGGATTTAAAAATAATATTAAAATAATAATCTTTTAAGCCACTTTGTTGCAGAAATAAGACCTTGTTTCAGTTCTTAACTCTCTTGCATCCTTTGCAACCCCTAAGTTAAGTACATGGGTTATACTGTAGATCATCACCAAATTAGGTAACTGAATGGGGAATTTTGCATTTGTCTTCTCTGTGCTTTGGAAGTCCATGAGACCACTACTTCACTTACATGGCAGGACTGATTTGCATTATCCTGGCAAGACATTTGTACTGATCTGGAAGGTACTGAGCCAAATGTCTTCAGAACATCAAATGCCTGAAAAATATGGCATCAGGAAGACAGTGCATCTACAGGACTTCACTTAAGTGATATCAGCATGGCAACACTCTATCTCAGTATTATTTATTTAACATCATATTATTCCATGGCATATACTAATTGGTGCATTATATTTTGGGGATCAGCTGTTGGAAGATGCCATTAATATTTGTGCAGCCAAAGTTAAATATCCTTCAAACGTCTCTTAGCAGTAGGGAGTGTTGTCATCTTGACCTATTAGCATAAGAATGTTAATATTAGTTAAGGACATTTGCATAAATGCCATAAATATAAGCACAGTCTGCATTTAGGGGAGTTCTATTTTTATGCTAATGGAGTTGTCAGGCTGAGGAGTATCTTCTCTTAAATGCTTTGAGAAGAAAGTTGAATAACTTTAATTTAAATAAGGTTGCAACTGCTATTTGCCACTTTCAGTCATTAATTGAATGATCATTTTCCATCCTGCTTGACTTTATGAGGGCATGACTCCTGCAAATTGAAACAGCAGTTGGAGCTAATATTGATGATACTTGAATGCCAAGCTATTCATACCTAATCTATGGTCATAGTTTTATCTTGCATTGTTCCCCTGATGTTTTTTCAATCTTAAAGAATGCTGGGCCTCCAAAAGAACACATTATCGGGCTGTCTCATATGGACCCTATTTTCCTGAGGTCTCCATGTTAATCCAATCCAGTTGCTAAAGCTCATAGTATAAGGTCTCATCTTCACTTGGGGCCTGATCCAATACCAGTTGAAGTTGGTGGGAGTATGTCCATTGATTTCAGCGCAAACCCGAACAGGCCTTTTGAACAACTACAGAACTGGGTCCTAAGTAAAGAATAACAGATGACCAAAAGTGCAGTTTACGGAGTGATGAACACACTTTGAGTAGTTTTTCTGTCTCATGTCTCCGCCACCCAGAAGTGCACATATCTTGTTACACTTAGAAACTCTGTTCTTCATTTGATTTTCCTTTAAAATAAATAAAGGGGTATTTTAATTCCAAGTCTGCCAGATGATCTCCAGTGAAATCTGTCTTCAACATTATATTAAGCCCAATTTTTAGTGGTGATCATTATTGTAAGTTAAGGATAGTGCATTACTGGACTACAATCACACTAATAAATGTGTGCCATCCATATATTTGATTTGCTGAAGTAGGAAACAGTATTTTAAAAAGTGCTATAGCCCATCATTAAACAGGCACTCTAAATTAGTTCCTTGATGGTATTTTATTACTATTTTTTTAAATGAGTACTTTACTGTTCAGGAGGTATATCTTGTAGCAGCTGCTAACACACTGTGCCATTCAGCTCCAAGTGCTCGCGTCCTATCATATTTCATACATTCTGCCACCAGAATGACTTGAGTCAAAGGGCAGATATAGTAAAAGCTGTTTCAGATTTTTGCAGCTCAATATCCTATATATCCTTTCTTTGAGAATTATATTCTGCATTGGCAGAGGGGAAGATTAAACCATCTAATAGGTCTTGTCCACCTTTAAATTCAGCAGTTTAATACTGCAGTGTGATGGTGCTTATAGTTTTCAGCTACATTAATGGAACATTATCATGAACCTTCGCTTTTGAATGACATGGCCTTCCTACATTTAAAACTTACATTTTTAGAAACAGAAGCATGCAAAATCACCTCTGATGCTAGCATAATTGGGTGCACAATTGCAGTGATTGCATATGCAAATTATGGCAACACATGCTTTATGGGAAACATTTCTAAAAATTCACATTCCTACGCAGTAATGTTTCATTCGTATAGAGTTATTTTTGTTGGTGGTGGGTTTTTTTGTTTTTTAATTAATTTCCTTACTACAACATTTGGAAAACGGATGAAGGAAAAAATGTCTAATTTACAAATCTATTACTAATTACAAGCATCCTCCTTCCCATTCCATTCTGGGAATGCAGAAGTTCAGTGAAATCAACCCACTGCTTCAGCTCCCAAAGCCATTTAATAGCAACCTGGTGCTAAGCCAAGTACCTGCCAACTCTTCTGGCAACCCTCCTCACACATGCCCAGTGTATGTTATGTGTCCTGCAAGATATTCCATTCCTATGCTAAATGCCAAGTTGTCAAGCTGACCAGACCCATCCCTACTTCCAAAAAAATATACTTTTTATGCCACTGCAAGCACACACCCTTGCACATGGGCACGTGGCCATAGGGGGCATTTCCAAGGCTGAGAGAAAAGCGTCAGGCCCTTGTCACTGAATGGGGAAAAAAAAAAATAATCAAGGTCCAAGCTCTGCTTGAGTCTAAATAGCCCATCTTGGTTAAGGCAAGCCTTAGTGTTTGTAGCTTATGGCACAAGCAGGGATCCGGGTTTCCCATTTGCTGCAGAAAAACTTGGATTTTCCCTTTTAACAGAGAAAAACACAGATTTCTCTTTAAAAGGGAAAAGCTGCCTTTTTCCCCTTTAAAGGGGAAAATTTAGAATTTATTTTATTATAATGATTGAGGCACTGGTTGGCTTACAAACTGCTTAAAATTGTAAATATATCTGTGTTGACACCTACACAGTCAAATCGTTCGCCAACTGGCTGGAGGGCCACACCCAGAGAGTGGTGGTGGATGGGTCATTTTTGACCTGGAGGGATGTGGGCAGCAGGGTCCCCCAGGGCTCAGTCCTTGGGCCCGCACTGTTCAACATCTTCGTCAGTGACTTGGACAAGGGGGTAAAAAGCAGCCTGTTCAAATTTGCTGATGACACTATGATGTGGGGGGATGTGGGCATGTTAGAAAGAAGGAATAGGCTACAATCAGACCTAGACAGGTTACGGGGTGGGCGGATGAGAATAGGATGGGATTCAACACTGACAAGTGCAAGGTG